ACAAAATAACTCATAAGTTTCATTCATATTTATACTTTATACTCCTAATGTAAATGAATAAAAAATAACTATGAACCTTTGTGCGATCTCAGCTTATTCAGTATTCAGCGAGCACTTTAAAAGTTTGTTGGAAATATTCAATGAGTCCCAGTTCATATGTAGGTGGCGAATACGTGGCAACAACAACTCGAAGCTCGATAAGCTGTATGTGTTGAGTCGCATTCAGTCGCCTTGTTGGTTTTACTCCACTCAACCCTTCTCAACCAACTATGTATTTGAGGAACGCTTCTTATTCCATCTTTTGAATATACATTTGCTAATAGGAAAATGTAGGTAATATCTGTTTACCTATGAAAGAACGTGAGACCGTAATCCATTTTAAGAGTTATTTCAAAGAAGAAACCCATGTCAATTCATAAATGTGTAATTTCAGAGCCCAGAAAATATACATATATTCTAACATAATTTTCTTGACAGCTATTTTTGGCAAATCTAAAGAGATTTTGTGTAGAGAATTTTTGGTTTTCTATCATATTAATCAAATAGTAAATTTAATACCCACATTAATAAGATGAAGGTTAAAATATTTAAAAAAAATTAGTTATCATAACATCTTTATAACTATGACAAGGTACCTCTCAAATTTAACCCTACTTAATATTATAAATATAAAACTATGTTAAAACGTTTGGATATTTGTTACTAAATCATTAAACGACTGAATGGATTTGAATCAAATTTGGTATACAAGTAGATTAATAATAATACACTACCTAAATTAACATACAAAATAAAAGAGCTAGTTCGTTATAATTTAAGATTTAAAATGACGGTCCAATCCCATAATTATACATTTAATACCTACTTTACTAGATCCTATTGCTTATAATATATATTGTAGTTATTGTACTATTATTATATTATATGAAAGTACTATATAAGCCATAAATAACTGGAAGCAGCGAGTTCGTGCGGCAAAGGAATTTATGTCATTCTTACTAATATGAAGTATGACGAGCCTCTGCTCGTTTCATATTTACTCTTAGATATTGAAATAGCAGGAATGAATTGTTGATGTCTATATGAGTATATAAAGATATAATGTTCCAAATTGAAGAATTAAAGTGACCGACATAGCCCGACGGATAAGCAAGTTGATGTAGCAAAGATCGACAAATTATATGGAAAAAAGGTTTATGAGTAGCGACCCCATACAGTCAAACGCAGTATAGGACGACTTCTCACTAGGGCGCTGACCTCTAATGCAAATGGGGTGTCAGTGAATACAGATGACTTGTGACGGTTTTATATTGTTCATCATTATCATCATCTTCCTGCACTTCCATTCATATTATTTTAGGTTGATATAATATGATTATATTTATATTACACATTTTGTGCCTTTTTTGGTTTTACGAATACTAATTACTAATTTAAAATAAGTGACATTATCATTACCAAATCTAAGGTTTTTCCAACTTTGAATTTAGGTTTGTGATTGTTACAAACAAAATAAATCACTTCACCTGGTAATAGGTATAAGAAATTTATATAAACGTGACTAAATATGTACGTACAGATCCATTTGTGAGAGAGTTCATTTCAATAAATTTCACCAAAGTTATATACCGGTATTACACTCTCCAAACATGTGTTCGAAAAAGGTTTCAAATTATTATCAGTCTGAACACGTTCAATATGCGATGTAGGCTTCATCAACCAACTCAACGATTATCCTCTTAAAAATGTAATATTAATTTCCTTACGTAGAAAATCGTTTATAAATTGTATTTTACATTTTGCAGTATTTTCAAGGAATTACGACGAAAACTGTGAAGAGCATCAACTATTAAATTTATAATAATAAGATATCGTAATATTTTATTAAAAACGTGAATATTGAAACTCAAAAAAAAATACATTTACGTCAATTATCTGAAATAATTAGGTGACACGGGCATTCGGAAAACCAGTTTATTCGGATAATCGAACCAGGTAATTTTATTTGCCAATAATAACGACGTACATGTTTGTAACATATATTTTACTTGTATTTTTAATTATAAAGTATAAGGCATTTTCTTTTTCACGTATTATTATGTATATTGTACAGCCTGATATACATTTCCATGAATATGTATAATTTATAGAACTAATGTTACACAAAATCTTTAATTTTTGTCTTTTTACGCAAACTTGCTCTTTTTCAAGCTGCTGAGTTATGCACTTTTTTCAAGACAAGTTATCCGATATCGATCATTTTCATTTTGAGCTTTAAACTATAGCAAGATAGTATTTAGACACGTAAAAGCTTGAGAAGTAGTTGATATATTTTCATCATCTTCACTTTCATTATATTCGCTACTTGATGAGGGGAATGCAGCATGGTTACACGTGCGGGCGAATATTTCGGTTAAGCGGTTGTTCGGATGACCGTTGCGGCAACATTGGATAATCGAGGCTCTACTGTATAAGTTTCCCATTTTTTTATGAAAGTAATTTACATTTTTATGAAATTTTATGGAAACAAAAGTAAAGCCTGAAGGAGTGGAGAGAAACAAGAGAAAATCGGGTAATTAGTTAAGATGTTTTATTTCTAATTAAGTCTTTGTATGAAAGATTTTATGTGGCCTATAGAAATAGATTATTAATTAGGCTAGTCGTTATTACATGTCAGAAGCATAATGTTTAATTAAATTATTGATTTTCCATGTGACTGCCATGAAACTAGAAGTTCATTGAACTGTATAAACAGTTTGCGATATGGTCGGTTGGAGCGGCCGGGGCGTGAAGCGACTAACATTGACTCTGGCAATCGATCACGTGTACTTATTACGCATCTATCACTTTGAGAATGTTTATATTTAAGCAAGTACATTGCCTTGTAGTATGGACAAGTAGGTACTTGTCCATACTAAAATGTATCTTAAAAGAAAATTATTATTTTCTTATTAACTTTGCCTTGCATTTATCGCTCTATATTTATTGTTAAGTCGGTGCTTTGGGATCATAATGATTCACCGTCATTACCAGATCAGCCGTTAAGTGTCCACTACTACACAGGCCTCCGGCTATGTGGAGTTTTGCCACTAATTGCCATTCTTGGCAGGCGGATTGACAACCACAGTCAGGCTTTGGTAATGTTTCAAGAGGGTCGTTGCTGTCCATCCCTCGACCTTAGCTGCTTCTTAATAATAGTGCATAATGCATATCACTTTAAAAACTCAATTAAATTATTACACTTTTAAATAATTCTAAATATATATTTTGCTATATCCTTCCGAAATAATAAGCTACAGTATGGCTATTCGTAATTTTTTCAATTTATAAAGTCATTTAATGTCCGTTTTTGTAAATGATGTATTCTTTTTTATTTAGTCTAGTGTATATGATAAATGAAAATATATAAAACTTTTATACTCTTTCGCTATATAAATGCCACAGTAGTCTAAAACCATTCCATTTATTCTATTACCTAACCCTATTCTTATATTGAATAAAAGTGCAGAACTTTCTCTCAAATCTGTACTATATCCTTAACTTTACGATTTTCAGTACCGAAGTTTCTGCGTTGGAAAATTCCATTTAAAGTCTTTTCTTATAAGTGACGTGTTTCTGGAATATGTATTAAAATTTGTTTATAAATATATTACATATTCACCATCATTATCATCATCTCAGCCATTATCTGCCCATTGCTGAACATAGGCCTCCTCCATAGACTGTTATAAGGAACACTCCTGAGCCACCTGCATCCACTGATTCCCTGCAATGCATTAGAGGTCATCATTCCATGTAATGGGGGGTTGTCCTACACTGCGTTTGCCCCTACGGGGTCGCCACTCAAGAATCTTTCTTTCCTATCGATTATCGGTTCTTTGAGTTATGTGACTAGTACATTAACATTTCAACTTGCTTATCCTATTAATATAATATGTGTATACCAAAATTCATAGTGATTGGTTAAGCTGTTAAGATGTTATAGGGTAACAAATAAATAAACAAACTCACTTTCATATTTATAATATAAGTAAGGTAATTTACTGAAGAAATTAAAAGTAATTCATTTACACTGAGAAACTAATGGAATTGTAACATGGCGAAATATATAAATATTTTTGATAACTTGACCAGTTTCTCGTTTTTATATATTTGTGTATTTATATTCTTTTTTGAATTCTATTTGATATATGTTTTTGACACTTTTTTTTTAATATACACGATGTGTACAATGATGTACATTTTTAATATTCCCCAGTCACGTTAAGTACTATATTTTTTTTTTTTTTTTTTTTTTATACTACTTAGAATGGCAAACAAGCTGACGGCCCACCTGATGGAAAGTAGTAACCGTCGCCTATAGACATGAGCAGTACCATGGACATAATAGAGTATACTGTTTCGCCCATGATACCCCCCATGCGTTGCCATTCCTGAGGACTCAGGTGTTATTCCTCTGTACCCAGTAAATTCACGCCATATCCCATCCTTCAAACCGAAACACAGTTATGCAAACACAACTGCTTCACGGTTGAAACACGAATGGGAATTATAGGTATAATATAAGATTATAGATTTATATTTTATATTATATATACTAGAGGAAGACTTTGTATAAAAGTCGTTTGCTTGAGCACCTTTGCCCCATCCGTGTTTCTATCGAGAAGCAGTTATGTTTGTATGGCTGTGTTTCTGTTTGAAAGGTGGGATATGGCAGTGAATTTACAAGGTACAGAGGAATAACACCTGAGTCCTCAGGAATGGCAACGCATGGGGTATCATGGGCGAAACAGTATACTCTGTTATGTCCATGGTAGTGTTCATGTTTATAAGCGACGGTTACCACTTTTCATCAGTAGGGCCGTTAGCTTATTTGCCATTTCTAAGTTGCATAAAAAAATATACCTAGAATAATATATATTATCCAGAATATTCGTTGTGTAAATATTTTTACACAAACGAATATTCTTTGGATTTAAATAATATCAAGTTGTACTTACTGATAATCATGATCGAACTACAAGTGTTGTAACGTAGATACCTGTAAAGAAAAATATACCGATTAAGGAACGTGATAACAGGGCTTAGTTGCCAATTTGATACGATGACGATGTTCTTCTATTCGACGAAGCGTTTCGAATTTAAAAATACTAAACAAATCAAAATTTTAAAACGTTTATATTTCATGAAAAGCAATTTGCTATTATGCTATTATCCCTGTCATGTTTTTTTTATTTCTTTGGTAATTAAAATTAGTTAATTAATTGACTGGAAAAAATCCCTTGAAGAGATAAGACCGCTTGCGTACTTTTTTGTTTTAATCTAATATCTATATTATATGTGAATATATAAAAGTATAATAAATACTATTAACTTATCGCATTAATTTATTAGCATTCTATTTAATCCTATTAGTGAAAAGCAGAAGCATGAAACTATTTGCATTTATTAAATTTCTTATTTTATTTATTATTTTGAGATGCTCCTTTATTATCTTACCATTTTATTGTAATTCCTTGTGAACCAATAATTTGAATTTTTAACTTTATGTTCCAGTCCATATATATATATATATATATATATAATTTCATTAAATTAAACAAATGTATATTATTTCATCACATGTAATAGTGAAATCTACTAAATTAATGTACAATTTCCGAGCCCCGTGTGTGAGATTAACACGATTTATGTTACTATTGCGTTAGGATTTACATTGCCGATAATTTGTACTAGGCGTGAGTATAATGGATATCCATATATTGAGTTCCTTTGGACTTTGAAGACAGGAAACAGGTTATTATTCATTTCTATATTGCTCATAGCGGTCGAATATCTATTTTTTCTCAAACAGCTTGGAAATGCGGGTAGCGGCCGGCAAAAGTTGTATGAAATTCCATATCTGTCGTGTTTTGCGGCCAGAGAACTTACTATGTAAACTCATATCTGTCCTGTAATTTAAAAATGGAATGGCCTTTTACTTCGAAACATGACTACCAAGGAGGTAACTAATACAAGGTTTTATTTAAATTTCGAACTGGCTTGCAAATAGAAAGCTGTTTATTGAAAAAAAACAAAGGAACATTATGGCGCGTAAAAAAATATTATTGTTCGTTATTCGTCATTGAACTTAAAAAGTAAAATTGTGTTTTTGATTTCCGCGCATTGTTTGAGAAAAATACTATACAACCCTTGGCCACAACTAGGCATTGATGAATTCACGTATCTGTGCCTTGGCTACTCCTCGGCCCACATTTTGCACGTTCGTCCATCAATGCCTCAGTTGCTGGCCGCTGCAGTAATGTACTATAGAATATGTTAAGGGTATATCCAATGTATTTTTTGGTTTACAGACTTTTAACATACTCATTATTGGACCAGTATATAGATATTGTAACTAAAATATATAGATGTTAGAGAACCGATAATTCCTTCTAAAACTCCCTCCCTATTCATGCTGTATAACTACAAGCGCCCTCTGTTGCGCTAAATGCGATTGTTAGTTTTTGACAGTTAAAAAAAGGAACTCATGACGTGTGGTGTGTGTAAAAAAAGAAAATTTCCGAAAGGCTGGAAACTAGTGTCCTGGGACTAAAGAAAAGGCAGCAGACGAAATCCAGTAAGTCCTTATCCTTTCCCCTTTATTCGGTTCTCAATGAAATAAATAAAAGAGCAAAATTTTAATATAAATCGAACAATAGATATTGATATACTATATATTAACCACCCCTAATTTGTATTGAAATATTGGCAGCGTTTTCAGAGGATCGTTCTAGAAACTTCTATTTTTTTTACATATACAGCAAGTAAGTAAAGAAAGAACTTTCTTTTATCAACACGAAGAGAAAAAGATATTTTCAGTCCAATAAAAGAATGTTGAAAAAGCAAATAAGATAGACTCGAAATTCTTAATTACGTCTTTTTTGGAGGGCAAAGAAGAACTATAGTGATGCTTCTCGCATACTTATAACTTCGAGGAACGATAATGCAAAAATTTTGAAAATATTGGGTAATTCCTAGTAAAATCTACTTATCTTTTTTAATATCTAAATTGTTAAATAAGGTAACATATTTCATATGAATGAAACGATTATGAAATATCGTAATATTTTATAGAGCCTTAAAACTCAAGTTGATGGCCATAAGGGAACAGTTCGTAAAAGTTATCAAGCCGGCTTGCGTGTCAATAATGAGAAATATGGTAATAATGATGATGGCAGATGATAAAAGCGTATACATGAAAAACTTGTAGAACATCTACTACTCTTTCGACTTATCTTTACTATTTGGATATATAAATGTGAAACTGAGTTTGTTTGTTATTTGTTGGCAACTTAACAGCTTAACTATGAAGTTTGGTATACTAGTATTACATAGAATACAGAAACTATTTTTTATCCAGGTCAATAAAAATATTTTGCTCATGGGGACAAAGACGCGGGGAAAAACTAGTATTAAAAAATACACTACTGCTTATCGCTTAGTTTTTTCTTTAATGAATAGATATATTACATCTTTTATTTGTAATATCTCCAAACTTAAGGTTTAAATAGTTTTTAACTAGTGAATGTTTATTCAATAGCTATTTCCAATAAGTATATAGTTATATATAGTTCGTGATTCATTGTTCCAAAGGTTGACTGGTAGAGAATGCTACTAGCATTAAGTCCGCCTTTTGTACCTTATTTTATTTTGGTTAATAAAGTTATTTAAATAAATAAATATACGAGGAAAATAAAAAAATTAAACGGCTTGAAAATTGTTTAAAATATGTACATAAAAATATGAAACTCTAAATTCGGTTGGTAGAAACGATTTATCAGTACAAAATTTTCCTCCCATTATAACGCATCGAGCCCCTCAATCATCAGACGTTCGCGAACTGCCGCAACTTTCCTACACGCTAAGTCACGTAGTTAATTTTGCATGTACTTTGTTTTTAATAAGATAAAGCTAGGTATATAATTTAATAGAGCTAAAGTAGATACAAGAGACAGAAAATCTAATTCTTTGTTATAGGCACCTATAATAAATACATCTACACCTGTCTACGTATTTGAAAGAAAATTGTAAGAAAATAAAAATGTTGTGGGCGAAAGGACTGTATGCTGGTATGGAAACACGGTGTTTTAGAAAGATAATATAATAATATAAAAAATATACATAGCAAACTAACGGAGTAAAAAAGCGAAGGCCAAAACAAAAACCGAAACTGACACAGACTTCAAATTATAAAAAGAACATCTTTTTAATAAAATTTAAAAAGAAACTAAAAAGGTGCGTCGTGCACATCGTCTAGGACTAAAGAAAAAAAAGATTAATTATTTACAAAAATTATTAGTCGAAAACTAAACAAAAGTAATTATTCAGTTCTAACTATCGGCACTAACTTTTTAAAGGACGCCTTAACGTTCCTAATACCGTTTGAACATCAGCCACACGAACAAAATTGTCTCTTCCAAGAAACAGAGCAACCACGTGACCTCGCGGCCATGTACCTCGGGGTAAATCTCCATCAGCTATAAGAACAACATCTTCGATAGAAATACTTGGTGCTGTAGAGCTGGAACTTGAACGACGGGGCAGTAAACCGGGGAGATATTCTCTTACCCACCGGCTCCAAAACATGTCACTTAGTCATACAGCAATTCTCCAGTTATTGCGTGAATTAGATCTCGATTGCAGTGTCGCTGGTAAGGAGCTGCCAGCTGTGAGCAATTGATCGCACAGCATTGCGTAATCCAAGAATCCAGTATTTTTGTCGAAGCTCGTTAACAATGGTTTCCGTATTTCCATGAGGAGTTCGAACATGATAATAATGAATTAAAAGGAGAATACTTGGATGTTTCCATCTAAAAAAAATAGAAAACTTATCTTCTTCATTGACATCTAAAACCGCTGTAATACGACCAGAGATGTATAAGTTTGTTAGGACCAATTTGTGGTGACAGCTTGCGGAGACGACTCTGAGGTTAAGTGGCCGATTATTAGCAATGTATGCAATCTCTTCTTGAAAATCGTCTTCTTGGCTACGACGTAGTATATGTGACTCAGCAAGATTTAAATCTTCCGCCGTTAGAATATTTGAAATATTAGACTGTCTACGCGAAGTTAGTGCCGTTACATTAATAGAATTATCTAAAAAAGAACAAATACAATAATTTAATTTAGTTAATTTAGAAATATTAACTTCTCGTTTTCGTAAACTACGCAATCGCAATATAAAAATGAATTTATCCGCAGTTGCTGTTGAACGTACTAATCTAATCCATGAACATATAAAGATGAATGAATCTAATCCATTAACGTAATAAATCAGCTGAGAGTGACAACTGCGAACTGGATGAAGTGATCTGATTGACTTGATGCAAATGAGGTTAAGTTAATTATGAGCTTCGATGATTATTAGAATGAATAAAGCGCCAGTAAGCTACTACTAAATAAGCTACTTTACTGACATCATAAAAAATCATGGAGTTCGCGCTCTAAAAGAACGCGACCTCTGACGTGTATTAGTGTTAATAAAACTAGTGGACCCGTATAATATAAGTAAGAGCCTGTGGTTTGGTGAGTTTAGTAGGCATTACAAAATCTTTTTGAAGACCGGTATTAACAGCGATTAAATCAGTGCCTGGGTACCATAATAAACCAAGTGTGCGTACGGGTGTACTAACATCACCTTTATCTACTTGAAGTGTATCTAATGACTGACTATGACACAAACTCTTAGGTATTAGTGATAGCGCCCTTGGTTCATTAGATATCCAGTTACGCATCTCAAATCCTGCTTTCTGATGTATATCAACAATATCTGCTACCAAACGAGCAGCTCTTTCCACAGACTCTACACTACTTATGCAAACGTCCATGTGTCCGTGATCAAATGTCCATGATCATGAACGATTACATGGGCCTTTTCAGGAAACTGCTGTTGAATATCATCAGCATTCTTATTTTAATGAACAAAGCTGTAGACGGGCTTGATGCAGCGCCAAAAATCATTAAAGAAATACGAAATAATTTCAAAGGTTCATTAGGACTATCGCGCCTTGGAAAACGCTGTGCATCTCGGTCTGCGTTACGAATTTTAACCTGAGGAAACATTTCTTTAATGTCACCATTAATCGCGACACTCTCCTCACGAAAACGCATTAATATATTAAGCAGAGATTGCACGAGCAGCTCTTTCCACAGACTCTACACTACTTATGCAATCGTCCATGTAATGGTCATGAACGATTACATGGACCTTTTCAGGAAACTGCTGTTGAATATCATCAGCATTCTTATTTTAATAAACAAAGCTGTGTGGACGGGCTTGATGCAGCGCCAAAAATCATTAAAGACATACGAAATAATTTCAAAGGTTCATTAGGACTATCGCGCTTTGGAAAACGCTGTGCATCTCGGTCTGCGTTACGAATTTTAACCTGAAGAAACATTTCTTTAATGTCACCATTAATCGCGACACTCTCCTCACGAAAACGCATTAATATATTAAGCAGAGATTGCACGAGCAGCTCTTTCCACAGACTCTACACTACTTATGCAATCGTCCATGTAATGGTCATGAACGATTACATGGACCTTTTCAGGAAACTGCTGTTGAATATCATCAGCATTCTTATTTTAATAAACAAAGCTGTGTGGACGGGCTTGATGCAGCGCCAAAAATCATTAAAGTCATACGAAATAATTTCAAAGGTTCATTAGGACTATCGCGCTTTGGAAAACGCTGTGCATCTCGGTCTGCGTTACGAATTTTAACCTGAGGAACCATTTCTTTAATGTCACCATTAATCGCGACACTCTCCTCACGAAAACGCATTAATATATTAAGTAGAGATTGCAAAAGATCTGGTCCGGTTAAAAGTAAATCGTATAAACTAACTCCTTGTGATTTAGCGGCTGCATCATTAATTATTAGCTTTCCACAAAAAGGCCAACCTCGAATCAACCCTCACGCTTTTCATGTCTCATAATATCTATACAGTCGAGACGATATTGCATTTTAAATATATTTTCTATAGACGCATCACTACCTGCGTTGCAATCACACACATTATTTACGAAATGAACAACATTCGTTTTACTTGACACAAAACAGAAAAGCACCCAACCCAAAGCTGTTAAAATAGCAACTGGTTGAGACCTAGTTCCCTGTCTAGTCGCAATAGGTACAGATAGATGCCAATTATCAATACCAATTATAATGGTAGGTTTTGCATCATAACATAACTCGTCAGCTATATCTGATAAGTACGAAAAAGTATCAATCTCATTTTTATTAACATAACGATCTGCTAAACCTAAATTACTAATAGATCTAGCTTGTTTGACATCAAAAGTTTTTATTGATTTCCGCCCTTTAATCTGAAAATCAACGTATTGAACTTCCGATTCCTTTGATAAACCACCCACACACTGTATGTCTATTTGTCCCATCTGACCCGTTACTCCTATCTGAGAAGATATTTCAGCATCAATAAAGGTAGCCGTAGATCCGTCATCAAGTAATGCGAAAGTATCAACAGAACCAGATGGACCCGATACTGTGACGGCGACGACCTTTAGTAATGGTTTACGAGAAACAGTGGTACTACCTGAAGACGTCTGAGTCACCAATTCTGAACGCGGCTGGTCCGCATTATTGTCTACAGCATGCGAACTTGACTCTCCGGATTCCTGTGTGCTAGCTATGGAATGTGTAAAATTAGAATTATGAAGTATTTTATGATGTTTACGAGAGCAACCGACTATAGTACAAACACCTTTGACACGACAGGTATTATAATTATGTAAACCTCTTTTTAAACATTTGTGGCATAATTTATTTTTCTTAACAAAATGCCATTTGTCATCAATTGACAGTGCCAAAAATTTATTACAATTGATTAATGAATGAAATGCTCTACAATATAAACAAGACTGTTTTGATGAAATTTTTGATGAGTTTTCAGTCGTTGTAAGAAGAGATGTTTCGACACAGAAATCGGCCTCGGAAGCTTGCGTGTCGAAACTATCACACACCTCTACGGCATTTACTCGTTCTAATTTCTTATGCCTGTCGAAATTAAAAGTCATGTTAAAATTGAAAATATCAACAATACCGAATTTAGCTTGTACCTCTACCTCTCGATTTAAAAATTCTGCAAGCATTTCTAGTTTGCTTTGACCACTATATTCGTGGATAACAGCAAAGTCATACCACCTACTTTTTAACACAATAGGCAATTTTGAGAGCACTGCATTGAACAATTCTGGTGATTTTAAATAGTCATTACCATCTAATAGGCGTAATGTCTCAGTGCAATTACGAACTTTACTGGCAAATACTGTTAAGTCCCTATCGTTAGTCAATCTCGACAAAGACCTTACCGAATGAAGTTCTTGTAAAATAATTAACTCTGGTCGTCCAAATCGAATCTCAAGTGCATGTGGGCGAAAGGACTGTATGCTGGTATGGAAACACGGTGTTTTAGAAAGATAATATAATAATATAAAAAATATACATAGCAAACCAACGGAGTAAAAAAGCGAAGGCGAAAACAAAACCGAAACTGACACAGACTTCAAATTATAAAAAGAACATCTTTTTAATAAACTTAAAAAAGAAACTAAAAAGGTGCGTCGTGCACATCGTCTAGGACTAAAAAAAAAAAAGATTACTTATTTACAGAAATTATTAGTCGAAAACTAAACAAAAGTAATTATTCAGTTCTAACTATCGGCACTAACTTTTTAAAGGACGCCTTAACGTTCCTGATACCATTTGAACATCAGCCACACGAACAAAATTGTCTCTTCCAAGAAACAGAGCAACCACGTGACCTCGCGGCCATGTACCTCGGGGTAAATCTCCATCAGCTATAAGAACAACATCTTCGATAGAAATACTTGGTGCTGAAGAGCTGGAACTTGAACGACGGGGCAGTAAACCGGGGAGATATTCTCTTACCCACCGGCTCCAAAACATGTCACTTAGTCATACAGCAATTCTCCAGTTATTGCGTGAATTAGATCTCGATTGCAGCGTCGCTGGTAAGGAGCTGCCAGCTGTGAGCAATTGATCGCACAGCATTGCGTAATCCAAAAATCCAGTATTTTTGTCGAAGTTCGTTAACAATGGTTTCCGTATTTCCATGAGGAGTTCAAACGTGATAATAATGAATTAAAAGGAGAATACTTGGATGTTTCCATCTAAAAAAATAGAAAACTTATCTTCTTCATTGACATCTAAAACCGCTGTAATACGACCAGAGATGTATAAGTTTGTCAGGACCAATTTGTGGTGACAGCTTGCGGAGACGACTCTGAGGTTAAGTGGCCGATTATTAGCAATGTATGCAATCTCTTCTTGAAAATCGTCTTCTTGGCTACGACGTAGTATATGTGACTCAGCGAGATTTAAAGCTTCCGCCGTTAGAATATTTGAAATATTAGACTGTCTACACGAAGTTAGTGCCGTTACATTAATAGAATTATCTAAAAAAGAACAAATACAATAATTTAATTTAATTAATTTAGAAATATCAACTTCTCGTTTTCGTAAACTACGCAATCGCAATATAAAAATGAATTTATGCGCAGTTGCTGTTGAACGTACTAATCTAATCCATGAACATATAAAGATGAATGAATCTAATCCATTAACGTAATAAATCAGCTGAGAGTGACAACTGCGAACTGGATGAAGTGATCTGATTGACTTGATGCAAATGAGGTTAAGTTAATTATGAGCTTCGATGATTATTAGAATGAATAAAGCGCCAGTAAGCTACTACTAAATAAGCTACTTTACTGACATCATAAAAAAAAAAACATGGAGTTCGCGCTCTAAAAGAACGCGACCTCTGACGAGTATTAGTGTTAATAAAACTAGTGGACCCGTATAATATAAGTAAGAGCCTGTGGTTTGGTGAGTTTAGTAGGCATTACAAAATCTTTTTGAAGACCGGTATTAACAGCGATTAAATCAGTGCCTGGGTACCATAATAAACCAAGTGTGCGTACGGGTGTACTAACATCACCTTTATCTACTTGAAGTGTATCTAATGACTGACTATGACACAAACTCTTAGGTATTAGTGATAGCGCCCTTGGTTCATTAGATATCCAGTTACGCATCTCAAATCCTGCTTTCTGATGTATATCAACAATATCTGCTACCAAACGAGCAGCTCTTTCCACAGACTCTACACTACTTATGCAAACGTCCATGTGTCCGTGATCAAATGTCCATGATCATGAACGATTACATGGGCCTTTTCAGGAAACTGCTGTTGAATATCATCAGCATTCTTATTTTAATGAACAAAGCTGTAGACGGGCTTGATGCAGCGCCAAAAATCATTAAAGAAATACGAAATAATTTCAAAGGTTCATTAGGACTATCGCGCCTTGGAAAACGCTGTGCATCTCGGTCTGCGTTACGAATTTTAACCTGAGGAAACATTTCTTTAATGTCACCATTAATCGCGACACTCTCCTCACGAAAACGCATTAATATATTAAGCAGAGATTGCACGAGCAGCTCTTTCCACAGTTACTACACTACTTATGCAATCGTCCATGTAATGGTCATGAACGATTACATGGACCTTTTCAGGAAACTGCTGTTGAATATCATCAGCATTCTTATTTTAATAAACAAAGCTGTGTGGACGGGCTTGATGCAGCACCAAAAATCATTAAAGACATACGAAATAATTTCAAAGGTTCATTAGGACTATCGCGCTTTGGAAAACGCTGTGCATCTCGGTCTGCGTTACGAATTTTAACCTGAGGAAACATTTCTTTAATGTCACCATTAATCGCGACACTCTCCTCACGAAAACGCATTAGTGGGCGAAAGGACTGTATGCTGGTATGGAAACACGGTGTTTTAGAAAGATAATATAATAATATAAAAAATATACATAGCAAACCAACGGAGTAAAAAAGCGAAGGCCAAAACAAAAACCGAAACTGACACAGACTTCAAATTATAAAAAGAACATCTTTTTAATAAAATTTAAAAAGAAACTAAAAAGGTGCGTCGTGCACAAATGTATTATAATTAAAATCTATTGTTTATTTCATAAAGTAAAATAAAATACAGTTGATTCTAACATGATATTAATACTATTACCTAGAAAGTTGACAAACAAAACATATTTGTACCGCGTTGACTTTCTCCTTTATCGAAATTTTGCTCATGAAATTGTCTACATTTCCAAATGCTTTGTTAAGCAAAGAAGTACGATACATATAAATATATACATATATACTTATATTCAAATAACAGAAATAATATATATGAAATAATAACAATGTCTCTCATATTCAAACAAAGATTATAAAGAATACAAACATTGTATTTGTAAGCAGGGAATTTGTTTACCTATTAGAATATTGGAGTCGTAAATGTAATAATTCTCAGTCCTGATCTTCTCCAAACGACATTACCTATAATCCTATTAAGCATAATCCTTACTAATATTGTAAATGTAAAAGCGAGTTTATTTCTTTGTTTTTATCTCTTGACGCTTTAATAGCTTAACCAATTACCATGAAATTTGGTATACACGTACTATTTGAAATGAAGATGAATATAGGTTACCTTTTATTCCGATCAACCAAGGTCACACGGTTAATATTGGGTTTTTTTTTTTAAATGGTTGATAATGGAATGGCAACCCTTTCCGCGCCATCGGCATACACCGGCGGGGCTCCAGTGAAGGATGATAGGTGAGGATGAAACAGGTCAGTTGGCCCATCGTGAAAAATTCAATAGGAATTGTACATGATGGTTTCCAGGGGGAACCACGTGAAGGTCGACCTAATAAGGCATATTGCTAGCAATGGGGCTATTAAACTCCTTTGCTAACAATCCCTTTCCCCCCGGTTAATATTGGAGTTAAAAATATAATAATACTTTGTATTATAATAAAATGGAGCTTATGAAGAAGTTTATACATTTATTACAATATGAATATAATTTAGTATACAGATGATCACGTCCTTAGCACATAGGAATCTTTTTATAGATCAAACCAAAATTAAGGGGCAAAAAATTAATAAATCGGCCCACTAGATAGAGTAATGACCTCAAATGTGTCGGGCCACACAGGGCCGTTTTTTTATAGAATAACCTCGATAGGTAATGAGACAGGTAATCCCGCCTACGTTATTTGTTACTGATGGGGTATCAGAGAGAGATGATAAATGAGGATGAAATCAGGTTAGTTGATTGAAGGGGTATTTTTAATGGGTGATAATGGAATGGTTACTCCTCCCTCCCTGTGCTGTCGCTATACGTACCAGTGAGAGATGACAGATGAGGATAAAACAGGTCAGTTGGCCCATAGTGACGAATTCATAAAGAATTAATCAACATGATTTCCAGGGGGAACCGCATAAAGGTCGATCTGATAAAGTTTATTGCTAGCTATGGGGTTGTTAAATCCTCCTCTCTTTCCCTCTGACTCGTATTTTTTTGGTAGTTTTTGATGGTTTCCAGAGGAAGCCCGTAGAGATCGATCCGATAATTCTATTCTTCTAGCAAAATAGTCGTTTTCTTGCCGGACAAAATGTACTTGTATATCTCTAAATACCTATAACTAGATAGATATGCAACATAACTGTTGCTTGGTCCCATATACCATAACGTGTTCATTGTACGAAAATTATCAAGTAATGCAGCCACTGTAATGAATAGCCAGCCGACCGGACCACCAGAGCCACGTTAAATTTTACGATCCCATCAAACGGCAACGTGCAGTGAACTAGAAATTGTAGAAAATGTAACAGTGGCTACATGGTAGTCTATCAAACATCGTACCTAAGCCGGTAGTACTTTTACTGTGGCTAACAGTTTATTACGGACTAGATGTTTGCCAAAGGAAACTATTAAATTGTGATTAGATACAATGTAAGAAAATGTAAGGATATACTATGTCGTGGACTTTATAACATACAGCAATATGGTCTCTAAAAAGAAGCAGCTTTTTAGTTCAACCCCATTATTGATGTCTTACGCAATATCTTCGTCAATAGTATGACGATTCTTTTTACAATCAATAAATATATATAACTATACTAAACATAGCAATTGTTATTATAATTGTATGTGTCTATAAATAAGTTTACTATTGTAATCTTTTGGAGGAAACAATAACGAGTTTATATTTATCTATAAACATAAAAATTTTTGAAAGAGAACAAAGAACTCTTTCCTTTTATTAAATCAATTAGGAATTTAAGCTGAAAATTTGATCAATAAGTAACTAAAACGTCATTCAATTGAATTCATTATAATATTGATATCAGATTATACTTTAAACGAAAGCTGTTATATAATTGACATGTAAATTATATTTTACTATCAAAGTAATATAATTTTATACATTTGAATGATTCTGTGTATCTATTTAATTTTGTGTTGTCAATGTCTCTTAAAATTGCAAAGAATAAAAAGTTTTGAATCTATGTAACTTACTCTAGAAGAAAATAATAATTTTGGTATCTACTCACTACCTTGCATTTATCTCTCTTTACTGAGTATACATAATGCATTAGCATAACCATCATATTAGCTCATAACTGTCCACCGCTAAACATAGCTCCCCCTATGAGGATGTCCTGCCATGCTTGGCATGCGGGTTGGCAACCGAAGTAAGGCTTTAGTGATGTTTTCAAAGAGGCGTAGCTACATATCCTTCGACCATTAAGTTCCCTTAGTCACTATTTAGGACACCCATGGGAAAGGAATGAGTGGCTCATTCTATGCCGGGACCACACGCCAATAGACCAATTGATACCAAAATAATAATTTTAAAATAAATCGTCTTTCTGTATGTTTGTTCAGGCATCACACAAAAATTATTGATCAAAATTGGATGCGGTTTTTGCAGTTATGTTCCTAAAGGTTTAGCTTATAATATGATGTATGTTTTGTCTTTTTACGTCGTCTAGAATTGGTCTATTTTTTTTCTT